TGTGTATGAGTGTGTGTGTGTCCGTGTGTGTACATGAAAGCCTGTGTGTGTCTGTGTGCGTGTCTCATATGCTAAACGGTACTTTCCCTGCTGAATCAGAGCCTGAGACACTTGCAAAGGTCAGAACTGCCTGGGCTAGGCTCCCCCCATCACATACACACACACACACACACACTCACACACACTCACAGTCACACACACACACTCACACACACACACACACTCACACACACTCCCACAGACACACACACACACACACACACACACACACACTGAGGCCGGCGGAGCCTGTGGAGCAGGTTGGCGGCCTGCACTCAGCCCTCACTGTGCAAGGCTCTAAGGCAGATGGGGAGCAGGCCCAGTGCTGGACAGCGATGCCCTGCCTGTCCCGTGTGCGCCCCCCCCCAGCAGGCGTGGCTTCAGGGAGGCCCCTGCCAGGGCCCCAGGAGACGTTGGGAGGCGGGAACCTGCAGTGGCCTGACTCCGGCCGGAGGAGGCCACAGGGTCTGTGGGGCCGAGACCAGCAGCAGGTGAGCTTGGGCGGGACCGACGTCAGGTAGAAACAGGGCAGGAGGCGCAGGAGCCGACGGACAAGCAGGCGCTGCCCCGAGCTGGGCAGGGAAGGACTCGCGGAGGCAGAGCAAGGGCCTCACAGGCTCTCGGGGGTGGGGGCGGGGGAGGGGGGAGCCAGCAGCCGGGTGATGGGTCCAGCGATGGTGAGATGAGGCCCTGGCCAAGCCACACACACTCACACGCACTCACAGACACAGCTGTGCATGCACACACACTCACAGCCAGACACACACGCATACACAAACATACAAATACACAAACTTACACACACACGCACACCTACATACACATATGCTTGTGCGTGCACACCACCCACAGTCACGCACAGTCACACACACACACACCTGCACACTCACATGCACACGCACACACACACACAAACATGCATACACATGTGGGACATGCTTATGCGTGCACACACACTTTTGTGCACACACAGTCACACAACACACGGCCACGCTCACTCGTGCACGTGCACACTCCTGTCTCCATTTCCCTCTCCGTTTCTGGGAGCATCAGTTACGCACACGTGTTTGTACATGAGCTGCTCCTTTACTACATGACAGCTGCTCCGTGACGCGGGCTGAACCGTAACATGGGCTGAACCGGGATGCGGGCTAAAGTCACAAAGTGCAGGCGAGTCAACTTGGGCCTGAGTTGGCTTTAGCCGAGGACTCCCGGTGGGACGCACCCCGCCCCGCGGACAGAGGGGGGTCAGGGGGCTCCACAGGCAGGGGCAGGCGGGGGGTTGGGAGGAAGGAGGGGCCTGGCCCGCTCCCCTCCCTGGGCCGGGCCG